CATCATTGTTGTTTTGGCGGACCTGGGCTGGATTCGAACGCTCCACCTTAGGTGTATGTGGCTGGCACCTTAGCCACTTGAGCCACAGGTGCTGAGCCTTTTTTGCTTTTAATATTTTAAATTGACACATATATACATCTTTATAGGGTATAGAAATATTTTGATACATGTATACCATGTATAATAATCAAATCAGGGTAATTAGTATATCCATTACTTCAAACATTTATCATTTTTTTGCATTGGGAACATGTGCAATCTGCTTTTCTAGCTATTTGAAAATATACAATAAATTGTTAATTATGATCACCCAAAGTGCTTATAGCATATTAGAACTTATTCCTCTTATCTGGCTCTACTTTTGTATTCATTAACCAACCTTTGACTATCCTTCTGTCCTTCCTACCCTTCCCTGCCTCTAGTAACTGCTATTCTACTCTTTACTTCTGTGAGATGAACTTTTTTTTTTTTTTTTTTGGAGAAAGTCTCAAGCTGTTGCCCTGGGTAGAGTGCTACGGTGCCACAGCTCACAGTAACCTCCAACTCCTGAGCTTAGGCGATGCTCTTGCCTCAGCCTCCCAAGTAGCTGGGACTACAAGTGCCTGCTACAACGCCCAGCTTTGTTGTTGTTGTTGAAGTTGTCATTGTTGTTTAGCTGGCCCGGCCGGGTTCGAACCTGCCAGTGTTGGTGTATGTAGCTGGCGCTAAGCCTATGAGATCAACTTTTTAAGCTTCTTCATATAAGGGAGAACATATGGTATTTATCTTTCTATTCCTTGCTTATTTCACTTAACATAATGCATAATGTTCTCCAAGCCAATCCATGTTTCCACAGTGGCAGAATTTTGTTCTTTTTTATGGTTAAATAGTATTCTATTGTGTATGTGTACCTGCCACATTTTCTTTATTGTTCATCTGTTGATGGACACTTAGCTTTATTCCATATCTTTGCTATTGTGAATAGTGCTATAATAAAGGTGGGAATGCAGATATGTCTTTGACATACAGATTTCCTTTCCTTTGGATAAATACCCTGGAGTGAGATTGCAAATTAGATAGTAGTTTTATTTTTAGTTTTTTTGATGAACCTCCATACTGTTTTCAGTGATGGCTGCACTAATTTATATTCCTAACAATAGTATATAAGAGTTCTTCTTTCTCCTCATCCACACCATCATTTATTATTTTTTGTCTTTGATAATAGTCATTGTAACTGGCATGAGAGGATATCTCCATGTGGTTTTGATTTGTGTTTCCTGATGATTAGTGAGGTTGAACATTTTTTCATATACTTGTTAGACATTTGTATGTCTTCTTTTGAGATTTGTGGGTCCATTTGCCCTTTTTTGTTTTTTTGACCCTAAAATATGCTTCTTTGACATACATATTTTTTTAAATTTCAGGTTTATTTGAGGGTACAAAGAATTACCCTCATTTTGCATTTGTTAGGTATAGTCGGGGTAGGGCTTATAGTTAACAAATGCATAGAAATCCTGCTAGGGCTTATTTTTTGAGTAGGTCTTATTTTTGGGGAAACTTGGTAGTTGTGTCCCACCCCGAGAAGGTGTGCCATATAACCCCACATTGTACTCATTAAGTGGGGATTTGCCAAATTTTTAATCAGATTGTTTGGGGTTTTCTTTGTTGTTGAACCTTGTGTATTCTGGATATTAATCTTTTGTTGGATGAATAGTTTGCAGATATTTTTTTCTATTCTGCAGGTTTATACTCTGTGGATTGTGTAGAAGCTATTTAGTTTGATATAATTTCATTTGTCTGTTTTTGCTTTTGTTGCCTATGCTTTTGAGGTCTTCTTCAGAAAATCTATGCCCAGACCAGTGCCCTGAAGATTTTTCCCTACAATTTCTTTTAGTAGTTTTTTTTTTTTTT